GGGTCCAGAGACTGTAGATTCTGCTTGTGGCGGCAAAGGTTCGGTCTCTGAAGAGGCAGGTGATGCTAGCAGAGGACTCTTGGCGGTCAGAGGCGCCTGCAGAAAAGTCCTGGGAGACGTAAAATCACATACCTCCTTTAAATTCTGCTCAGGGTTCTCTGGACGGCACAGAGCTAACTCAGGGGTCTCAGAACGGCACAGAGCTAATTCAGGAGTCTTTAGACGGCTCAGAACCGGCTCGGAAGTCTCAAGACTGCTCGGAGCTGGTTCAGGGGTCTCTAAACGGCACAGAGGTGACTCAAGGGTTTTAAAATGGCATGGAGGTGACTCAAGGGTCTCAAAATGGCACGGAGGTGACTCAAGGGTCTCAAAATGGCACGGAGCTGACTCAGGAGTCTCGAAGTGGCACAGAACTGACTCAAGACGGCTCACGGCTGGCTCAGGGGTCTTTAAACGGCTCAGAACTGGCTCAGGGGTCTCTAGACGGCTTAGAGCTGGTTCAGGGGTCTCTAGACGGCTTAGAGCTGGCTTACGGCGACGCCGTTTCTTACGTCGGGGTTCTATGGAAACTGGACTAATTGGTTCAGAGGCTGACTGAGGCAAAAGGTTAACAGGAGTGTTAGCGGGTTCCGGTGCGGGTCTAGTTGGTTTATGAAGAGGTGACAAGAAGGGGAACAGATCATCTCTATCCCCGTAGTAGAAGTTCCAGAGATCTGACTCCTGGATTACAGAAGCTCTGACTGTTTGTGTTGTGACTTTTGGTTTGATTCTAAGCTTCTTAATGGATGGAGTTAACTGGCGATCAAGTATGTGGTGGCTGAACTGGACTGAACTGGGCAGAGATGGACTAAACAGGGCTGTACAGAGCTGTACTGGACTGGACTGAGCTGGACTGGTCTGGACTGGACAGAACTGGGTTGAACCGGGCTGAACCGGACAGAATTGAGCTGGACTGGACTGGACTGGGCCTTACTCCGGTTCGTAACTTGTAATCCAGGTGGTTTGCTACACAAATGAGCTCATCCAAGGTTTCTGGTTCCTTGATCTTAGCTAGCTCATTCCTAACGTCTTCATTTAAGGCGTGGTAGAAAATGTTTTTGACCATAGAATCAGTCCAACCAGAAGAAGTGGCTCTGACCCGGAAGTCGACAGAAAAATCTTCTACAGATCTATTCCCCTGTTTCAAGTTCAATAGACCCGGAGATTTGGCAGATACAGAAAAAGCTAGAGATAATTCTTTCAGAAAGTCTTCATATGAACAAGAAACACGGGATTCAGAAGAGTAACTGGCCTTTGCCCATTTGCAGGCCTTTCCTGATAATCGGGACTGAATGAGGGCTATTTTTTCCATGTCATTAGGAAAACTGGAAGGGGAGATTTCAAAAAACAGTTTACATTGAAGCAGGAATCCGTTTAGTCTGCTTGGAATGCCAGAATACCTCTCAGGAAGTGAGAGACGGAGAGCAGGAAGTGACGGACCGAATTCCGGAAGTGACAAAACTGGCTCAGGTCCTTGAGGCGGAGTTGACTCGGGAACCGGAAGTTGAGCTGGCGCCATCTTGCGATTCTCACGAAGCCTGTAGATTCTTGAAAGATTTGTTTTCTTAAGATCAAAAACTGGGATTTTACTCACGGAGGGTTTGTGCCAGTCATTGGATCTGGGTAGCTTGTTTCTCAAGCTTCCACCGGAGGTGATCTGCTGGGTTTTGTGAATGGCCGCAGTGTACTGTCATGATAGGCTGAGGAGGCTGAACCCACATGCAGAACACCACAGGAAGCTGAGTAAAAGTTTAACAGAGTTTATTGGAAAACACACAGAGTAATTATGAACTGGTTCTGGTACAGGTCCGGGACTGGAATCACTGACATCTAGATGAGGTTCTGGCAGATTCTTCGAGAGAGGGGAAACCGGTTGGGTCCAGAGACTGTAGATTCAGCAGGGAGCTCAGCGGCAGCAGCGTCCAGCCTCT